TCAACTTAAAACATTTTTTAATAGGGAAATACAAAAGCTTGTTGAAATATGGACAAAGTATATTGAAAATCAAGGAGATTATGTCGAAAAATAATGTATTAGTCTTTTTTTAAGGTTGATTAACATAAATGATACAGTCAGAGTGCAGATAATTTTTCACTCACCCATGTATATGTAAGTTATGTCTGAGCACAACTAAATGTCCTGGAATTTCCACTTGTCACAATATTACTCATAATTTGTTATGGTCCACACAGTTGAATACCTTTGCATAATCAATACCACACAGATAGACATCTTTCTGGTATTCTCTAATATCTGATATCAGACCCATTTGATACCAACAATGACACCCTTATTCCACATCATCTTCTGAATGTGGTTGAATTTCTGGCAATTCCGTTAACATACTATTGCAACTGCTTTTTAATTATCTTTTGCAAAATTGTACTTGCATGTGACAGTAATGATATTGTTTGATAATTTCTGCATCCTGTTTGATCACTTGTCTCTAGAATGGTCACAAATACGGATCTCTTCCAATCAGTTGGTCGGTAGCTGTCTTCCAAATTTCTTGGCACAGACAAATGAGCACTTTCAGCATTGCTTTCATTTGCTGAAACATCTCAATTACTATTCGTCCATTCCTGGAGCCTTGTTTTACACAATGCCCTCAGTGTAGCTTAGACTTTTTCCTTCAGTTATCACTGGTTCTTGATCATAAGGTATTTCTCAAAATGCTTAAACATTAACCAATTGTTTTTGATATAATGACTCAGTATACTCCTTACATCTTTTTTGACGCTTCTTGCATCATTCAATAGTACAATTTGAGGCTTGAATGTTTTATTCAGTTCTTTCGGCCTGAGAAATGCTGAGCGTGTCATTCCTGTTTGGTTGTCTAACTCCAAGTTGTTGCACATTTTATTATAATACTTTACTCTGTCTCCTCAAGCTGCCTTTTGAAAGCATCTTTTCAGCTTTTACTTTGTCATTTCCTTAATTTGTTTAAGCAACTCTATGTTCAAGAACAAGTTACAGAGTCTCTTCTCTTTTCTTTTTGTATTTTTAATGACCTTTTGCTCTCATGTATGATGTACTTAATATCATCATGCAACTCATCTGGCCTTTGGTCACTAGTGCTCAATGTATCACATCTATTCTTGAGATGGTCTCTTAATTCAGGTGAGACATGCTCAAGGTCATACTTTGGATCTTGTGTGCCTGTTTCTAAAATTTTCTTCAGATTCAAATTCAATTTGAACATGCATATGATGACCTATTGCACAGTCAGCCTCTAGCCATGTTCTGAATGATAATATTGAGCTTTTCTATTGTTTCTTTCCACAGATGTGATCAATTTGATTCCTGCGCATTTCAGCTTCTCGTGAATGGTCACCAATTTGTTTTTGAGGGGAAAAAGGATACTCCCAATGCATAGGAATCTGTTTTTTTCAAAATTCTATCATGTATTATCCAGCATAATTTCTTTCACTAAGATCAGATTTTCTAACTACTGATCCTTCTTCATTTCTAGCTTTCATGTTGTAATCAACAGTAGTTATCAATACAACTTGATTATGTGTGGCTATTTTCAGACCGCAGAAGTTGGTAGAAATCTTCAATTTCTTCATCTTTGGTATTAGTGTTTGATACATAAATTTGAATAATAGTTGTATTAACTAGTCTTTTAGGTGTATGGATCCTATTATTGATAGCAATGCACTTTCAGGATAGATCCTGAAATATTCTTTTTGCCAATTAATGCAAAACTATTCCTCTTCTATTTGTCATTCCGAGCACAGTAAACTATATGGCTGTCCAATATAAAATGGTTAATACCAGTCCATTTCAGCTCCCTAATACCTAGGATACTGATCTTTATGTATTCCATTTTATTTTTAACAACTTCCAATTTTCCTAGATTCCTACTTTGTACATTCTGAATACTAATGGATGTTTGCAGGTGTCTTTTCTCATTTTAAGTCAAGTCACAGCAGCAAATAAAGATTCTAAAAAAGCTTTACTCCATCTACTTCCTTAAGGTCAGCTTAATTTTGAAGAGGCAGTTCTTCTTCCTCAGTCAAATTTTGAGTGCCTTCAAGCCTAAAGGGGCTCATCTTGAGGCACTATATCAGACAATGTTCCTTCCACTGCTATTCAGAAGGCCAATTTCTTCAGAATAATCACCAGGACCATCTCCTTAGTATGACTTGATCTAGAAGTGCTGCTGAAACTTGTCTCTCATAAGTGACCCTGCTGGTATCTGAAAAGCTGGTAGCATAGCTTCCAGCATCACAGCACCATGCAAGCCATCACAGTATAATAAGATGACAGATGAGTGGCGTATAAGTACCTCATTGTTGCTGTTAAGTTAGCTATGACTCATGGTGACCCTATACAGGGGTTCTGAAGAGCAGTTGGTGAGTTTGAACTGCCAACCTTGTGGTCTAGTTGCTTATCCTACATTGCCACACCAGGACTCCATAGTACCTTATACCTGCCTCTATTGTGGCATTATAGACATTAGTACACATGTGAATCTCCCCTGCTCCACTAATTTCCTTCAAGGCCGTGACATTTTTCTTATTCTTGTCCATTTTAAACACCTAAGTGATGCCTGGCACAGAGCTTGCACTTTGGAAATATTTGATGAATTAAAATAAAATTGCAGCATTATTCACAATAAGTGGATACAGTCTAAATATTCACCTAATGAATGAATACATGAAATGGGGTATATACATACAATTTGGAAATAAAAAAAAATGATTCATGTTATAAATGAACGCATCTTGAAAACAGTATGCCAAGTGAAAGAAAGTAGTCATGAAAGCCCATATTATATGATGCAATTTGTAAGAAATGTTCAGAACAGGAAAATCCATGGAACAGAAAGTATACTGCGAGGAAATAGGTCAAAGGAATGAAAAGTGACTGCTTATTGGCACAGGTTCACTATGAGTCAGAACTAACTCGATGGTACCTAACAATAACAACAACATATATAAGGAGACGGTCATAGTAACGTAATGGCTCACACAATTGTAGAGATGGGCCGGTACCCAGTCCATGGGTCAGATGTCAGGCTGGAGGTCTCTAACTCACTGTAAGGCTGATGAGTTTAAGATTGGCAGATTTCACAGCAGTTAAGCAGGTTGGACAGGTAAGATGGCAGCCTGCTGATGACTCCCAGGATTGGCAGGCAATAGAACAGGTCACTGCCTCAAGTCCAAATAACTGGAGGTTAGATATTGAGCCAGATGCAGGATCCAGAACCCACAAAAACCAAGCATATTTTGCCCAAGTGTCCAATATATGGGAAGCAGACCACACCTCCAAGGAAACTTCCCTTCATTTAATAGGCTTTTCATAGCAGACGTCATCATGGAGTTGATTATATCATATTAGATCATATCATATAGGGTTGCTACATCTTAAATACCAAACCACTGAGAAGCCTGATAAAATCAAGTTGACACAAAATTTTAACTATTACAGGGAGGCAATATCCAATGAAGGGGAGGTCAGCACAAAATGATCAATCAAAGGAAGGCACTGGGAGGAACACAAGAGTTAAAGACAACAAAGGTAAACACTACTGTGTACATAATCCTGCAATGACAGTGATATTAATCTGAGTGGATACACAGTAGATAACCAAGATGAACAAGTATGGGAAGAAGAATGGGACTGCACCCATGAACACACATAGATTTGACGCAGGCTATTTCTACATATGTATATACATATGCTGCATATGGTAGAGCAACAGGGGCAAAGTTATAAAAACGTGTTGTTGTTAAGTGCCGTCGAGTCATCTCCAACTCATAGCGATCCTGTGTAGGGTTTCTGGTGGGTTTGAACTGCTGACTTTGTGGTTCACAATCCAGTGCTGATCCTAAAGCATCACCAAGCATCTTGAAAGAACAAGTCACTAGACCTATTCTTGGGGGATACCAACAGTGACTGACAAAAAGACAATGGCAGTGCTCTACATGCTACCTTGGTGAGTAGAGACTGGGGTCTTAAAAATCTGTGAGCAGTCATCTAGGGTACAAAAATTTGTCTCTTCATGTCCAGAGCAAGTAAGAGTAAAGATAATGAGAGAGGCATGGAAATAATTCGAACAAAGGACTAATGGACCAGGCAAACCTGAACCTCCACAACCTGAGACCAGAAGAACTTCTTCAAAATCATAAATAATTTTTTTAAAAAAAGGACCAGGCTTACTTGTCAGATGGAGACTACTGGAGCACCAAGGCTATGGCCCTTAGCCACCCTTCAGGCCTGGGGCTGATCTCACCCCCAATACCTTAATTTTCAGACAGACAACAGACAGGCCTATAAGGTGAACAAAAAGTTCAGAAGTGGGGAGGGTTAGGAAAGGAGTAGGAATGGAAATGGGAGTTACAGGGAGAAAGTGGGATGAAAGATGCTATACTGTGGAAATTATAGTCAATGACATGAAATAAAATGTGTATGGATTGTTGAATAGAAAACTAGTCTGCTCTACAAACCATCACTCAATTCACAACAAAAGCCTTAAAAAAAAGAAAGAAAGAAAATGAGAAAAAGGAAATGTAGCCAGAAGTACTGTACTTCTGTCTCATGTACTTTAGACATCATGATTGGTAAAGTAGGGGGTCACTGAAAAAGAGGAAGACCCTCATCAAGATGGACTGATACAGTGGCTGGCTGCAGCAATGAGGATTTCTGAGGCTGGCACAGGACCGGGCAGTGTTTCATTCTGTTGTACATAGGATCGCTATGAGTTGGAACCCACTTGATGACATTGAACAACAACATATTTGTCCACGAAATTCTCTGTATTAGAGATCTTTCTTTTAAAGTATGGCTTTGAATTGCTTTCTCATGTCTTTTCCTTATAACAGCAGAACTCCCATTATTATTTTATGCTTAGTCAGTTCAGTGCATTTGAACTCTCTCAGCTTCGGTTTGACTAGGAACCTTTTCATTTCACTCTCATTCTTTTATTCCTAACCCCCTTCCCCCACACTTTTTTTTTTTTTTTTTGGCCTATTCAATCCTGTAATACTGAAACCCAAGGCTTGAATTTTTTTCTTCAATTGAAGAAACACTGAGCATGTTATTCCCTTTTTATCTTCTAACTTCTAATTTTTGCACAATTCATTATAACACTTTATCTTCTCAAATTTGCCCTCTGAAAATTTCTGTTCAGCTCTTATACTCCCTTATTTTCCCCAAAGCTAAAGAGAAATTGCTTTAGCTTTTCTATACTCAAGACCTAGTTTTAGAGTCTCTTCTGACATCTGCTCTGGTCTTTTCTTTTTTTCCTGTCTTTCTTTTTAATGACCTTTTACTTTCTTGTATGATGTTCTTGATGTCAGCCCACAATTCTTCTGGTCTTCAATCACTGGTGTCTTAATACATCAAATCTGTTCTTGAGACGATCTCTAAATTCAGGTAGGATATGTTCAAGGTCAGAGTCCTGGAACAGGGCTTATTTTTGAGGTGATGAAAATGTTCTAGAATTAGATCATTCTGATGACTGCAGAACACTAAGAATATACTAAAAATCACTGACTTGTACACCTTAAAATGGTGAATTTTCTGTGGTGTTACTTTTATCTCATTAAAATTTTTGGAGAAAAAAAATCAACAAAGAATTACCAAGGCTCGTATTCTTACCAGAAATCTAACCCCTTACATGGATCCAACAAAAACACTATAGAAAAGGCACACGCCTCTAAAGAACATAGTTATATTGGAGGTTTGAGGGCTGCCACCCACTGAGCAAGTCACAAACTTGTATCAGTTTCCTCACATCTAAAATGAGGGAGGGGACATAAGCAATCTTTAGAGGGTCTTTCTAGTTCTAAAATCACAGGTCAGTCAAGCTCAAAGTGGTCTGGAGAAAAGATTCAGAAAGACTGCCATCAAAGGCTCAAATGCACTTATCCCATGATTCTTCCTTTAGCCATACCTTAGCCTGCAGCCGGCTCCCAATGGTTGACCTCAAGTGGTACATGGAAACAATCACATCTCCTTGCACAGTGATGTTTAGAGGAATGAAGATTTTTCCATCTTGGACACGATATTCTCTTTAAAGAGAGACAAAAACCTACATTTAAGGAAAGCCCCATCTTGTGCAGTCCCAAAGTCTCACACACAGGTACAAGTGCTCTGTGTGCTCAGGCCTAGACCCAGGAACCATTTCCTGTCTTCAACCAAGTCAGGACTGCAGCCTGTCCCAACATGGTGCAAGCTGGTTCAAAAACAGGATGACATTGTTCCGATGTCAGACCCGCTCCATCCTATATGGACTTCAGATAAGTCACTTGCCCATCCCAACTTTGCAGATCCTCTTATTTGCCTCAAATACATCTCTGGTATATTTGTCTTTTCCTAACCTTAAGTTTGTAATAAAAGCAGAGATAGAGAAAACAAAAATTCAACCAAGAAAAGTACAGAAATGACAATATGAAGTTTTGGGATACCAATTCCCAAATTCAACCTACTCCCAAACTAGTTTCATTTTATGTTGCCACCTCTCCAAACCTCTTTTATTCATATTCGTACAAATTCCATTGGCAACTACACTTTTATTCTTAATTCTAAATCTTCTTTAATTATATCACCTTGCTGTTCCAGCCAGAAACCTAATCATTTCCAATTCTTCCATTATCCCCCCAAGCTCTATCACAGCTATCTCTTTCATAAATACCCAAGTCATCTGTCTCTCACCATTGTCTCAGTCTTCATTACAGCTCATGTCATTGGTCCTTGAAAAGTGAACTGTGGTGTAGTGAATTACAGACTGTGGCCTCTTTTAACCATAGTCTGTAATTCCCACCAAACGTTTTGCCCTGCTAGGTCTGGGTAAGAGATGGTGGGAGAAGATACTGATAGGATGATATGATTCAGCAGTGGATGTTGGCAGCATTCATTGTAATTGCAAAAACTTGAAACTCCAGCATGGATTTAAAATGCATCATCTCAGAAGCAGGAAGGGGGGATCACACTACCATCAAAGAAGAAGAGCCAGGAGTGGAGTGCTTCCTTTGGACCCTGAGATCCCTGTGCACTGACCATCCTTGACCCAGGGACAGAAAGCTGCAACACCAGAGGAGTGGCAGAGGAGCAACAGGAGCAGAACCAAGAATCAGAGCATGAGACAGAGCAGTGGACTTCCCAACCCCCTAAGCAAGTAAAGTTGAGTGACTTTGGGCAGGAAGCTTGCTTGTAGAGTAGAGTGCCTCCAGGTACTTGAAAGGGGGAGTTAGGTTTGTTGACTGGTGGAGCTAGAGCCAAGTACCTTCAGGCTGAGGTTTATGGTGAAGTAGTATGTCCTGTGGGCATTTATCAGAAGTTGATGGGAACAACTATGTCCTGAGCATTTCTGACCCTGTTAACTTCCCTTATAAACCCCATAACTGTGAGTATTGTCTTTGAGTTCTGTGTAGCCTTTGCAATGGATTATTAAACCCAGTGGAGTAGAAGGGGGTGATGGTAGGAATGATTGGTGCTTCATATTTTTGAAGGACTCTTTTCTAGTTCTTCTTCCCATCTTGAAAAGCACAACTTGGTTTAGTTGTACACTTCTAGGATTACTACATATGTCTAAATTGTTACTATACATCAGAAATTTTCATAATGATGCACTCATCACAGAAAGACTATGACCCACATTATATAAGAATTGGGCAATTCACAAGAAGAAATTAAGAAAAATATCATGACTTACTTCATTCGTTCAAAATCTGTGCAGGTTGTATATATTTTGGTTTCTCCGATCAACACATCACAGTAAGGGCGACATCCATTTCTCTGCTTGTTAAAAAAGGGGATTGGACTGACAGTGATTGACTTAATCGTCAGTGGCTTGAAATGAGGGCGGTAGGGTTTGTCCGCTAGTAGGTCACACATGTAGCCCAGATATCTGAAACACAAGATCGCCCGGCAATCTGTCACAGCACAAGAAACCAGCAGCCGAACGTTGGTATAAAGTTCATTCTTACACATTATTATTTACTCTGCAATTTTCTTAAAAACATTAACTAGCAAAAGATAATGCAGCCAATCATTTAGGGAAGCTTTCATCTGGCAACACTACTGCACTTCCCATGGAACTAGTAACTGGGTATTATCAAGTGAAAATCTTTATGGGACCTTTATTTTTGCTTCATATTAGAATAACTATTCCTATTTGATCTTGTAGATTAAATTTATCAACTAGATTTGGCTGTAAATGTATTTTAGAATTTTGTCATCAGAAGCAATTTTAATTAAGAAAAAATAAGGAGATGCAATTTAATTTTGAGAAGAGAAAAAATTGTGGCCAAAGGGAAGAAAAGAAAAGTTCCCTAAAAAGGGTTTGTCTTTTTTAAGCCACTTTTCAGGTTATGTTTTATAATCTATTTCCTTGTTTCTTTGTCAATATATATAGATATATATAGAGAGAGATTTATTGATTTAAAAACACCTAATTCCCTATATACTTTTACATTCCTTTTCTTTTAGTAATTGTGTACACCACAGGATGAACAGCAGCAGCAAACAGCCTGCCATTGCCTGTATGTCCATAAAGATCTACATACTGAAGTAGAAAGGGGCTGCTTCTAGAGCCTGTGACCGAGGTCACGTTCTGCCTCTGTCCGGTTGACATTTTCAGACCCAGAAAATGTCACAACCTGCCTGATTCTCAGTTTCTTCATCTGTGAAATGAGAGAGATGGGTATATGCATTCTTTAAAGGCTTTTTCTCACGTTAAAATGACAAATTCTCAAAGCAGGCTATACAGCTGTGTGAAAACCACATTTGTTAATCTGATCCAATTTTTTGTTACAGTTCAGGACAATGCCAGATAACAATCGAAAATAAAACAAGTTATGAAAGCACCTAAAAAGTGGATTTTGAATGCTATCAATTAGATCAGGTTTGAGTCTAACTCTGCGTCTAGGTTGTTCTACCTCCTGTGTGATGGTGAAAGTCCAATCCCTGGTCTTTTTGCATACAGCAACCGAACAGCTGGGCCAGGAGAAGAGTAGAGATTACAGAAAATGAACATAGCACCAACCAGAATTGACGATGCCGCCCGTCCATCCTGCCAAAGAAAACACATAAACTCATCTTGGATGTGGCCCACTCACTCGCCACAGAGCATGGTACACTTGCCATGAAGAAAGGTAAGGAGGGGAGAGAGAGCTCAGAAATTCTCTTAACCCAGGATATCTTTAACTTGAAAACCAGAATCTGTTCCAGCTATTTTAATTTAAAAAATCAGAAAGGAAAGACATTCTTTGGATAAAACTGACTCTCTACTAACCCAAGAAACCAAGCAATATAAATGTCATCTTTTAGGAAACTCTTTTTGCAGTATTTGCTTATATTGACTGAAAATTTCATCTTCAAAGTCACTAGATGTGGAACAACTGAATTGATAGTTGAGGTCTCTTGGTTTTAGGAACAGAGGTAAAAAGTAGCCAGGTGAGGTAAATGCTACTCTACAGAATATACTATGTATATATTTCACCCAAAGATGCTCCTAGATTCTTATTAAATAAAGAAGATTCACCTAATTCAACTTTCATTCAATATAGAAATATACCCTGTAACATTCTTGACAGATGGTCATCCGACCTGTTCTAGAATACTTCATGTGACAGGCAGCTTATTGCTATTTGAAGTAGTCCATTCCCATTCACAAAATTCTTTCTTATCCTGAGTATATTGAGTTGGAGTCGTCCTCCCATAACTTTCACTCAATGAGTCTCATTTTCCCTTCTTTCAGAATAAAGATTAAGCCTACTCCTTTCTCTCTCTGACATCCAATCTCTTCCATTCTCCTTCTTTCAATATTCCATATCAAGAGACATCATTTAGTACCCTTCCTCTGAACCAATTCCAGTTTTAAGACAACAAATGTTAAATGTGTGACCAGAAATGAAATACATACACTATAACAGTCATGTTCTGACCTAACGAGAGAGGAAATATCACCTCCCTTGGTCTGGACACTATGCTTTTATTAATATAACCCCAAGTGTATGGTCTGACTTGGCTTACATGGCTCAAATGTAAGCCAAGTCAGACCATACACTCTTTTGATCTTACAATTCACAGAAATTCTTGGTTCTTTTTCAGATGAAAGTTGAGTTTTGTAGATAAAAGACCTTCAAAGGAAGCAATGGAAAAGTGATTCTAGGAAGTCAGTTGTTAGAAAAATCATCAGTCCCCCTGGAGATTGCTCTAAAATGCACTTAATCCATTTGACTATTTAAAAGGACATACATGACTCTTCCTTTTATTCAAACACAAACAGTAGGAAAAAAAACATACATGCCAACATGTTTATACAAATTCTGTATACCCATAATTCTTGTTTCTACCTCTTTTGTAAAACTTAGCATATTCTAGTGGGCTGTGTACATATCTACCTCCCCTACTAGAACTCAAGTTTTAAGGAAAGAATAGTAAATTCTTCCCTCATTTTTATAACCTTCATATCACCCACCTCCTCAGGGGCTCCATAAATGCTTATTGAACTCAAATGCCATGTGTCTACAATTCTGAGCAGGGCCAGCCTATATGACCAAGCCAAACCACCACCAATAACAACAACAAAAACATTACTCACCAAGCAGTGTACGACACAGACATTTTTGGGATTCTGTAGTAGCCAGTTATACATATTCCGACACACAGCAAAGAGGTTGTGCAAACTGGGTGCCTGCCTAATGGGCCAACTGCATTCTGAGACCTAAGGGAATACAGCAAAAAGAAATGAATCCCCTCAACAACTTCCTCTCCATAAGTAGGCAACCAAACAACATCTTCTGGAACTGATACCATATCCTCTGTCCATGTAACCAGGAAGAGTTGGAACGATGTCCACACACAAAAAGAAGGGGTGATTAATACAGCAAATTTTCAATTAAGAGATTCTGTTTAAATAAATGTACGAAAATATATTTTAAATGCATTTAAAATTAAGTGACACCATTTAAACTACATATTTGGATTTTTTTTTAAATCTGTAAGATCACATGGAATTTAATTTCTATTAGCTATAAAATGTTTTGACCTGCCTACCAGATGTCTAATTATAGGACGATCTCATAAATCCTGCAGGATTTTATCTCAGCTCTCATGGTAACATGAAACATTCTCACAGAGACAATGGCAGGTTTCTGTGTGGCTCTTACTCCTTTCTTTTTTAATTGAGGCCCCTCTATGAGTGTGTGTGTGGGGTCAATATTCATTTTACACATATATTAGTATATTACAGAGTATTGACTATGTTTCAGGAATGCTGCTTGGCTCTGATTCATTCATACAATAAAATAAATAAAACAGACTTCAACATGATCCTCATTTTGCAGATGAGAAAACAGACTCTCAGAGGTTGTTTTGCTCAAAGATGCACTACTGGTTACTGCAACCCAGCTCTTCTGAACACAAATCCTGTCATTGTGCAACAACAGCATACTGCTTAAAATGATCATTTGCTTCAAAATACTAGGCAGAAGCCCCAGTTTGTTGTCGTCCAGTCTGTTTGGACTCACAGTGACCCTGTACAGGGTTTCCAAAAAGCAGCTGATGGATTTGAGTCACCAACCTTGAGGTTAGCAGTCCAGTGCTTGTCCCACAGAATCATTAGATATTAATGTAACTAAAACTATATGGAGAAGCTTGGACTTGGGCAAATTGTGTGACTTCTCTAAGACTTTCTCAATAAAATAATGATGAATGATACCTACTTTAGTTGTAGGTATTAAATGACAATGACGTTAAAGAGGTATGCTCAGTGTCTGGGACACACAGAGTGCTCAATAAATGTTGGCTATTATAATTAAAGGTTTTTGATTGTGTAGATCATGAGAAGTTATGGACAACATTGCAAAGTATGAGTATTCCAGAACACTTAATTGTGCTCATGAGGAATCTGGACCTGGACCTGGACCAAGAAGCAGTTGTTCGAACAGAACATGGGAACACTGAACTTAAAATTAAGAAAGGTGTCTGACAAGGTTGTATTCTTTCACCATATTTATTCAACCTGTATGCTGAGCAAATAATACGAGAAGCTGGGTTCTATGAAGAAAAACGTGGAGTCAGGATTGGAGGAAGACTCATTAACAACCT